AAAAAAAAAAAAAAATAAAAACTGCCATCAATTACAAATTTGGCAGCTTTCAAACTAAAATGGTAGAGTAGTTGGATATAAGACATAATGACCTATAAAGCCTGTAAAGGATTATTATTAGGCCATGTATAGAAAAATTTCCTGACATGTTCCATGTTCTTATGTTGAAATGTTGAAAACATTTTCAAACATAAGTTTATATGTATGCTGGGTGTGGTGGTTCACACCTGTAGTCCTAGCAGAAGGCCAAAGCATGCTGCCGACTCCCCTAAGCTCAGGGAGTCGTTGAGACCAGCCTAAGCAAATGTGAGACCCCTTATCTACTAAATATAGAAAAACCAGCTGGGTATTGTGGCTGGCACCTAGTCCCAGCTACTCTGGAGTCTGAGGTAAGGAGATTGCTTGAGCCCACAGGTTTGAGGTTGCTGTGACGTAGGATGCCACAGCTCTGTACCTAGGGCACAGGGTAAGACTATATCTCATCCTAGCACTCTGGAAGGTTGAGACACGTTGGATTGCCTGAGCTCACAGGTTCAAGAGCAGCTTGAGCCAGAGCAAGACCTCATCTCTAAAAATAGCTAGGTGTTGTGGTGGGCACCTGAAGTCCCAGCTATGTGGGAGGCTGAGGCAAGAGAATTGCTAGAGCCCTTGAGAATTGCTGTGAGCTGTGATGCCATGGCACTCTACCAAGGGCACAAAGCGAGACTGTGTCTCAAAAAAATAAATAAATAAACACATAAGATTATAGGTATAAATTTATCTGGAAGATGGTATGTTTCATTTTAAAATAATCCAGATTGAGTACCAGCAGTAGTACTTTTCACAATAGTGTACCTTTGGGATGATTTAACCAGGAATGCCCAACCTTGTCCCATGGGCCACATGCAGATTCTTTGAGGTCTCTAGTCTGTGGTTTGGGATATCGAGAAAAGTATGAGTGGACCTTTTATTTTTTTAATTTTTTTTTTTTAATATACTTTCCCTTCACTCTCCCCCACACTCCTTCCTTCTCTCTGCTCTTCCCTTCTCCCACCATTTTTTTTTTTTTTCAGACAGTCTTTCTCTGTTGCCCAAGTTAGAGAGTTCTGTGGCATTAGCCTAGCTCACAGTAACCTCAAACTCCTGGGCTCAAGCTATCCTCCTGCCTCAGTCTCCCAAGTAGCTCGGAGTATTGGTGCCTACTAGTACATCTGACTAGTTTTTCTGCTTTTAGTAGAGATGGGGTCACCCTTGCTCAGGCAGGTTTCAAACTGATGAACTCAAGCAGTCTTCCCACCTTGGCCTCCTAGAGTGCTAGGATTATAGGTGTAAGCCATGGAGCCTGGCCTGCTCAGGTCTTTTATTTTTGCTCATCAGATTTTGTTGGTGTTTGTGTATTTAATGAGTAGGCCAAAGCAACTCTTTTTCTTCTAATTTATAACAGGGAAAGAAAATGGTTGTACACCCCTGAATATTTAGAACTTGATGTGTCAGGGGATTTTTCGTGTAGTTCATTAGTTAAAGGAAAATCTATATCTCATTAATTACTATGTAAATCCCCCAATGGCAGTAATTTTCTTATTGAACTCCATTATTACCAATTTTCTTTCTAGTTCAATATTTATTTGGACTCTTGTTTATTGTTTGTTTTTGGTGTGCATTTCATAAGATGATCCCAGTTGCTTACTAGATCAGATTCTTTAATTTGCCCAAAACTCTGGCATTGGATAGAACTACTCTTACCTTATGGAATAGTTGCAGGTAACTACAAACCTCTGATGATTTATCTATATTTTAGGCAAAATTAGTGTCTGTTTTCACAACTGATAAATTGATTTAGTTCAGTAGCTAATGCAGTGTTAACTTTGTTTTTTTCATCTTATCTTATAGATGTATGTCCATTCCTGTGACGATGAGGGCTATTCGGAGGAAAGCTGAAACCATTCAGGCCGACACCCCAGCACTGTCCCTCATTGCAGAGACAGTTGAAGACATGGTGAAAAAGAACCTGCCCCCGGCTAGCAGCCCAGGGTATGGCATGACCACAGGCAACAACCCAATGAGTGGTACCACTACACCAACCAACACCTTTCCGGGGGGTCCCATTACCACCTTGTTTAATATGAGCATGAGCATCAAAGATCGGCATGAGTCGGTGGGCCATGGGGAGGACTTCAGCAAGGTGTCTCAGAACCCAATTCTTACCAGTTTGTTGCAAATCACAGGGAACGGGGGGTCTACCATTGGCTCGAGTCCGACCCCTCCTCATCACACGCCGCCACCTGTCTCTTCGATGGCCGGCAACACCAAGAACCACCCGATGCTCATGAACCTTCTTAAAGATAATCCTGCCCAGGATTTCTCAACCCTTTATGGAAGCAGCCCTTTAGAAAGGCAGAACTCCTCTTCTGGCTCACCCCGGATGGAAATGTGCCCGGGGAGCAACAAGACCAAGAAGAAGAAGTCATCAAGATTACCACCTGACAAACCCAAGCACCAGACTGAAGATGACTTTCAGAGGGAGCTATTTTCAATGGATGTTGATTCACAGAACCCTATCTTTGATGTCAACATGACAGCTGACACACTGGATACACCACACATCACTCCAGCTCCAAGCCAGTGTAGCACTCCCCCAACAACTTACACACAACCTCACCCCCAACCCAGTATTCAAAGGATGGTCCGACTATCCAGTTCAGACAGCATTGGCCCAGATGTAACTGATATCCTTTCAGACATTGCAGAAGAAGCCTCTAAGCTTCCCAGCACTAATGATGATTGCCCACCCATTGGCACCCCTGTTCGAGATTCTTCAAGTTCTGGGCATTCTCAGAGTACCCTCTTTGACTCTGATGTCTTTCAAACTAATAATAATGAAAATCCATACACTGATCCAGCTGAGCTTATTGCAGATGCTGCTGGAAGCCCCAGTAGTGATTCTCCTACCAACCATTTTTTCCCTGATGGAGTAGATTTTAATCCTGATTTATTGAATAGCCAGAGCCAAAGTGGTTTTGGTGAAGAATATTTTGATGAAAGCAGCCAAAGTGGGGATAATGATGATTTCAAAGGATTTGCATCTCAAGCACTGAATACTTTGGGGGTGCCAGTGCTTGGAGGTGATAATGGGGAGACAAAGTTTAAAGGTAATAGCCAAGCTGACACAGTTGATTTCAGTATTATATCAGTAGCTGGTAAGGCTTTGGGTCCTGCAGATCTTATGGAGCATCACAGTGGTAGTCAGAGTCCTTTGTTGGCCACTGGGGACTTAGGGAAAGAAAAGACTCAAAAGAGGGTAAAGGAAGGCAATGGCACCAGTAATAGTTCTCTATCAGGCCCTGGATTAGACAGCAAACCAGGGAAGCGCAGTCGGACCCCCTCTAACGATGGGAAAAGCAAAGATAAACCACCAAAGCGGAAGAAGACTGATACTGAAGGAAAGTCTCCATCTCACAGTTCTTCTAACCGACCTTTTACCCCACCTACTAGCACAGGTGGATCTAAATCTCCAGGCAGTTCAGGAAGATCTCAGACTCCTCCAGGTGTTGCCACCCCACCCATTCCAAAAATCACTATTCAGATTCCTAAGGGAACAGTGATGGTTGGCAAGCCCTCCTCTCATAGTCAATATACCAGCAGTGGTTCTGTGTCTTCCTCAGGCAGCAAAAGCCACCATAGCCATTCTTCCTCTTCTTCCTCATCTTCTGCTTCCACATCAAGCAAGATGAAAAGCAGTAAATCAGAAGGTTCATCAAGTTCTAAGTTAAGTGGTAGTATGTATTCTAGCCAAGGGTCTTCTGGATCTAGCCAATCCAAAAATTCATCTCAGTCTGGAGGAAAGCCAGGCTCCTCTCCCATTACCAAGCATGGACTAAGTAGTAGTTCCAGCAGTACTAAGATGAAACCTCAAGGGAAGCCATCATCGCTTATGAATCCTTCTTTAAGTAAACCAAACATTTCCCCTTCTCATTCAAGGCCACCTGGAGGCTCTGATAAGCTTGCCTCTCCAATGAAGCCTGTTCCTGGAACTCCTCCATCCTCTAAAGCCAAATCCCCTATCAGTTCAGGTTCTGGTGGTTCTCACATGACTGGAACTAGTTCAAGCTCTGGCATGAAGTCATCTTCAGGGTTAGGATCCTCAGGCTCATTGTCCCAGAAAACTCCCCCATCATCCAATTCTTGTACAGCATCTTCATCCTCCTTTTCTTCAAGTGGCTCTTCCGTGTCCTCCTCTCAGAACCAGCATGGGAGTTCCAAAGGGAAATCTCCCAGCCGAAATAAGAAGCCGTCCTTGACAGCTGTCATAGACAAATTGAAGCATGGGGTTGTCACCAGTGGCCCTGGGGGTGAAGACCCAATGGATGGCCAGATGGGGGTGAGCACAAATTCTTCTAGCCATGCCATGTCCTCCAAACATAACATGTCAGGAGGAGAGTTCCAGGGCAAGCGTGAGAAAAGTGATAAAGACAAATCAAAGGTTTCCACCTCTGGGAGCTCAGTGGATTCTTCTAAAAAAACCTCAGAGTCAAAAAATGTGGGGAGCACGGGTGTGGCAAAAATTATCATCAGCAAACATGATGGAGGCTCCCCTAGCATTAAAGCCAAAGTGACTTTGCAGAAACCTGGGGAAAGTAGTGGAGATGGGCTCAGGGCTCAGATGGCCTCTTCTAAAAACTATGGTTCTCCACTCATCAGTGGTTCTACTCCAAAGCATGAGCGTGGCTCTCCCAGCCATAGTAAGTCACCAGCATATACCCCCCAGAATCTGGACAGCGAAAGTGAGTCGGGCTCTTCCATAGCAGAGAAATCTTATCAGAATAGTCCCAGCTCAGATGATGGCATCCGACCACTTCCAGAGTATAGCACAGAGAAGCATAAGAAGCACAAAAAGGAAAAGAAGAAAGTAAAAGACAAAGATAGGGACCGGGACCGGGAAAAAGACCGAGACAAGAAAAAATCTCATAGTATCAAGCCAGAGAGTTGGTCTAAGTCACCCATCTCTTCAGACCAGAGCTTGTCTATGACAAGTAACACAATCTTATCTACAGAGAGGCCCTCAAGGCTCAGCCCTGATTTTATGATGGGGGAAGAAGATGATGATCTTATGGATGTGGCCCTGATTGGCAATTAGGAACCTTATTTTTTAAAACAAACATGGCCAGAGAAAAAACTATTGATACATTTATAGGCAAACCAACATATAAGGGGTGGATCAGACAGTTCTGAATTGTGTTTTAAGAACCCTAAATGGCATGGCTTTGACACCAAGCTGGGTGAATTCAGAAAGGCATGTCCAGACCCTATGAGAGAAACCACAGGGTTTTGATTCTGGTTACCAAGAATTCTTGTTCATTTACCAGAATGAAAAAATTAAAATACTTAAGTAAAGGAGGGTGGGTGGGAGGGGCATAGGGACAGGGACGGGTGGGAAACATTTTATGGGAAATACTCATATATTTTTTCTTCTCCATTTTTAGAACATGTTTTAAACTCATTTTAGTGCATGTATATGAAGGGCTGGGCAGAAAATGAAAAAGCAATACATTCCTTGATGCATTTGCATGAAGGTTGTTCACCTTTGGGTAGTACTTGTCCATTTGAGGCATGGGCAAATGAAGGACTTTAGTTATTTGGACACTTAAGTAATGTTTGGTGTCTTTTTCTTAGGAGTGATTGGGGGTGGGAAAATTACTTTAGCTTATTTATTTATAAAATTTTAACCCTCTGTTTGTTTTTATAATGTTTCTTTCTAAATCTGAGTTTAGGGTTCAAAATGATGGGAGGCAGAAGAGCAAGGCTTATTTGATGGTAGGGATCTTCTAGCTTGTGCTGATACTATAGTATCAAGCCCAAGCCAATTAATTAGAACCTGCCTTTGGAGTTAAAATAGAAAAATCCAAATGATATTTTTTATTTTAGGAGATTTTTCATAGGGTTCAGACATCATAGGAATTTAGGAGTTACCTCCGTGTAGAGGTATTGATGTGTAATAACCTCTTTTTCCTTTTAAAAGAAGCTAGAGTGACTTTTTGGGATGTAAACTTGTTTTCAGATGCAGAAAGATTTAATACGGGACAGCCTTCTTGGCCTAGTGGCATGAAAACCATTACAGAATTAATAGTTCTCCTATTTCCACAATGTGCCAAAAATCCACAACCCAGCATTTTGTTTGCAGGAGAACTGATGCCATTCCTTAGAGCTGAGCTCCTTGTTTCTCTTCCTCACAAGGAGGAGTCCAGACTTTAATCACTCCACTGTATGTTCCCAGAGATAAAACAGTAAGAAATTTGCAGCCATAGTTCATTTATAACAATTTCAAGCTCACTTGGAGTAATGGGGGCCTGGAATGCTATGTGAGCATGAAGATAAACCCTTGCTACTATGTAGCAACACAATTGGACCTTTTTGGAGAAACAGGTCTGCATCTGGATTCTGGGGGACATCAATAAGAAGCCCTTCTCATAAATATAGAAATCCAGGAGACCGTTTTGAGTGCAACAGAAGTTCTCAGTATTTGGAAGGTCCTCTCAAAATTCTGCGGCCTTACTTTGATTTTGACACCTGCACTGTGCCATTCCTGATGATTCCATTCAGGAGCTATATCAGCGGAATGGGGCATGGTCCCCAGCACAACTCTTCTGGATTAAAAAAGAGAAAAAGCCAGGTGATTCCTCTGTGTGTGTTTGTTTGTGTCATAAGTGGAGTGTCTTCATCAGATATGGAAGAAGATTACTATATTCAGCTCTTTCTGCAGGTTGGAGGTAGCATAGAGTTGGAAAATCAGCTTTGGCTTTCTTTCCTGACTGTCTCTCATTTCCTTTAGTGTTCTCCCTTTTCTGGTCATCAGCTCTCAACAACTCTGCCACTTTCGTGTCCCAAGGTAATAAGAAGTAGGAAACGAAACATTGCAAAATGGAGCAAGAAAAGTTATCGGTTACCATGTCAGAGTCAAATGTCTTGGGTGACACTAAGGAGGACATGGGCAAGGTGATACCAGAGTGCTTTATCTTGTGATGCTGATAACAGTAGCAGCCTCCCAGACATACAGCCAGGTTGGATTTCTCACAAGTTTGTCACCTAATTTTGAATTTTTTCCCATTGGTTTCTGCAGGAAACAAAAAAGTTACATGGTTTTTAAGTTTGTTCTGGGTGGGGAAGAATCTTAAGGGGATTGTACTGAATAGTATCGGCTCGGCTCCTCCAAGCAGAGCCAACAAATACCAAAATGAGTAAACTGGGAAGCTTTTTCTCTCTTTCTGTCTTCATCCCAGATCAAAGAATCCCGAGTTAGGATCTGGATGAAGGATAAGCCCCTGAATTGTCGATGGGCACACCCCACACACTGACCCAGCATCTGAACTTGCTTAACAGGGAGCCGGGGCTAACCTACTTCACCCTGCCTGAGAACCAGGGAGCACTGCATTTCTCCACAGGGTGGAGGAGAAGAGGCAGAATAAACCAAGCCTGGGACACCTCCCTCCTGTCTAGGTGTACTCATTCTCCTGTTTCAAAAGACGGCAAGGACATGAAGTCAACTTCTACTTATCTTCTGCTGCTGGTGTCTTAGTATTCTTAATTTGACCTGATTCCTCTTCTGTCTTTTGGCTTCATGTTAGGGGTTCTTGGTCAAAACCTGCTCTGATGTACATGAAGATTTCAGATTCAAAATCAATGTCTTAAAACAAGTATTTTAAGGTACCGGGTGGGTAGAGCAAAGCAGGATATAATTGCCAAAACCAAGTTGGAGGTTGGTGACTCTTGGAAGGATTTTCCTTCTTCAGGCCTAGGTCTGAAAATTTACTGCAGCAATATCATGAATTCTCAAAAGAAACCCTTTCAGGGAGCCAGTGAATTATACAGTATCCACAATTGAGTCATCTAACGTAGATGTCAGTATAGGAAACGTTTTTCATAATTCCTAGGCAATCTCATTTTTTTGGCCTTTTTCCTTCCCCTACTTTTGTTTTTATCCTTGAGTTGATTTTTTTGGGGGGTGGGGGTAGGAAGTACTTAACATCTCAAAAGTAGATTGGGAAACATGCTTAGCTGTAAGAGCTGAGCTTTAAATTTTGACTTTAAAAATGTACATCAGGAGCAGTTGGGGTGGGTCTTTTTTAAAAAAGAAAATCTTTCAAATTTGATTTTCTGTGCATATGGCCGTTCTGTAAATACTTTGGGGTTTTTCATTTTTTTGAAAGTAGACAAAATCTGTTGTGGGATTTTTTTCCCCAAAACATTAAAAAAGAACCTGTTTATTTACATGCAAATAAATTTCTTTGATAAAAAGTAATATGCCTATGTGTAATAAATTTTAAACCTTTGAATAATTTTACTTGTTCAGCATTTCAGAAATCCAGTTAAAAAATCAGTGAAAAAGTAAACATCTTTCCTGAGAACTACTTGAAATGGGTCCACTGGAATATAGAATTGATAAACCTGTGATAAAGTTTTCTTCGTTACCATTATCTGGATATATTAGTTTCTCTACTTTTTGCAGTACTAAGTTCATCAGTAGTTTTTATTGGGAGAAAAAGGCTCAGGTGAGACTGAACTAAAAGGTGTATTCCACTGGCTGAAGTGAAGCAAAATTATTAAAATTATCTGGGGACAGGAGGAGAATATAATATCTAGACAAGGGTTTGTGGCCTTAGAATAAGTTTAGTAAAGCTAGGATCCTTCCTTATGAAGCCCCCTCTAAAATGAAAATGAAGTTTGTAAGTCCTTTCTTAGAGTTTGGTAAGGCTTTCAGCTAAAATACACCTATTCTTAAAGATATGCAGTGTTTGTTGCTCTTAAATTCATTTCTTAATTCATGACAAGCCAGTCACTAAAAACAACTACTAATTAAAAGGGATGTGAAAACATATTCTTTTTTTGTTTGTTTTTGTCGAGACAGAGTTCCACCCTGTGCCCTGAGCAGAGGGGCAGTGGCGTCGGAGCTCACTGCAACCTCAGACTCCGGCTGCGGGCATCCTGCTGCCTCAGCCTCCGAGGCCGCTGGGATTACAGGCGCTTGCCACGGCGCCCGGCTGGGTTTTTCCATTTTTTTAATGAGTCGGGGTCTCACTTTCGCTCAGGCGAATCTCGAACTCCTCAGCTCCAGCAATCCTCCCTCCTCAGCCTCCCACAGTGCTGGGATTACAGGCGTGAGCCACCGCGCCCGGCTGAAAACATATTCTTAACTGTTTTGGAAGCATACAATTAATACGGCTGTTTGGGGCATGATTTTGTGGTTTGTTACTTTTAGAAGGGGGGGCAACTGTGGGGGGGGGTGCGTTTTGAGACAGTCTCAATCACCCTCGGTAGAGTACTGTGACAAAGACCAGTTTCAATACTAGGATCCCCAGAGCCAGACGAAAGGCAGTTTCCACCCGGCAAACGCCCCCGCCTACTTGCTCCCACACGCTTGTTTCTCCCGCCAAAGTGGCGTCAGGATTAGGTTCTCACCAGCCAGCGCCCTGATTGGAGCGCGGTCAGGTCCTACCGCCCATTGGGCGCCAGGGACGGCTAAGCAGCGGCACAGCTGGGGGTAGCCAAAGGCCCTTTTTCTTCGGGCGTCCCAACCCCAGCCAAAGGAATGGTTGCCCGGCTCCACCACCGCACCCCTTGACTCCAAAGGCCGAGGTGCGGTCTCACTGCCATCCCTGGAACAGAGCGGGGTGCTCGGCCTGCCGCTCAACGCAGGTAGTCCCTGCTTTACCGAACCATGCACCTGGAGACACACGTCCCGAAGCGGCCCCCCAGGCCTCCCAGCAGCACCCCATAATGCCATCCACCGGGACGTGGGAGGCGGCGGTGGCGGCAACAGCAGAGGCGTCGGTGGCAGCAGCAGCTCTGCCCCAATATAGAGACATCCAGAAAGAGGAGGAAAATGGCTCCGAGCAGGGACCGCCTGCTGCACTTTGGGTTCAAGGCGACAGTGAGTGATAGGGGAAGGGCGTAGGGTGGCCGGGAAGGATGTGTGCCGGCACAAGCTCCTGGGGAAGAAGTGCCAACCCTACGGGTTGGGGGTTCTAGGCAATGTGCTTAGGTTCTGTATGGGTTAGTGTGTTTGTGTTTGCCCGCAGAGGGGAGGTAGGAGAGGGGGACACGGGGCAGAAGAAGGGGTCCTCGTGCAGTGTGCGGTCCGTCTTTCGGCTTTTCCCTCTCTCACCCGTCCACGAGCACTAGCACATTCGCACCCTTCTTACAGTCCCCACTTTTTCACAAACACAGACATATAGGTATTTCCCAGCCTCTCCTCCCAGGGGGCCCGCCTGCCTTGGAGGCAGGAGGGGGCTCGTGTCGCAGCCACCACCTCGCTTCAGCTGCTCCTGGGTCAGGGGCTGCGCCCGGGTGGGGGAGGGGTGGTCTGGCGTCGCCGCGCCGCGCGCTCCTCCCCCTCCCCTCCCCCTCTTCGTGCCCCACCCCCTTCTTTCCCCCTCCCCCTCCTTTCCTTTGGCGTTCCGAGGCCCTGGCGGCTCTGCCCAATGAGGAGCGCCGTTGCTGGCAGGTGGGGAGTGTTTTTGTTTTGGGTTGAAGTTGAGGCTGAGGAGAGAGCCCAGCTAGCGAGGAGCAGTCGTCGCGGCCGCCAGCGCCGCAGGAGGTGGTGGAGGCCACGCCGGAGCCGAGAGGTCTCTCCTCCGTGTCCGCCGTCCCTGGCCTTGCCCCTCCTCCGCCTCCGCCCGGTCCCGGAATTCCCGGGCCTGCCCAGGGCCCCCTGTCTGCATTTCGCACGCCGCAGCGCCCGGCCCGGGCCGCACCCGCCGGCCCCATGAGGAGGGACGTGAACGGAGTGACCAAGAGCAGGTTTGAGGTGTGAGCTTGGGGGGTTCGGACGGAGTACAGAAGGCCAGGCTTCCTCTCTTACCCCGAAACACTCGTTCCGCACGGAGCCTCCTCCCTTGCAGGCGCCGCCACCCACCCACCGGCGGGACTGCCAGACTTACCTCCCCTTTATAGAGAACTGAAAGCGCAGTGTCGCCTGGCTTCCCTAGTCCTCCCGACTGTTCGCCTCCAGTCTCTTCCCACCGGCGGGCCCCGGCGAGGGATTAGCTCTGGCGCCCTAATTCTCCCCTCCCCCCAGGATCACTCAGTTTTCCATTCTTTACACAACCCTTGGCTTGCCTCCTTCCACCCGGCAGAGAAAGCATCACGGCTCCCAACGACCAGAGCTTGTTTTCTTTCTGCACCTTCTTCGTAAAACGTTTTTTTTTGTTTGTTTGTTTGTTTTTTTGTCCGTAGAAAGAGAGTGTACTGGGGGCCTTTACTCTGGGTTTGAGAACTGGATGAAACTAGGGAAGTGGGGGTGGTAGACTGGGATAATAGAGGTGATCATAGGTTTTCGGTACTGTATTTCTTTTGGGTATTGTTCTGCTACTTCCTCTTTCCCATTTAGTTTGCACTTTTGTAGCTCATTGTTTCTGGGAACTCTTAGATGTCTGCATGTTTTCAGATTCGGACGAAAGTCTGAGAAACTTAAGTAAACCCATTCCGGTGTGTCTGTCTCTTAGGAACTTTTCCTTCTCTGGCGAGGGAGGTTTGTTATAGTCCTGGAATTGAGCACTGGGCCGTCTGGAAGTGCCTACTGTACAGAGTAGTCACTTTGTAGGGAAGGGATTCCTTTGAGAAGTGGAGTATTGTAACTACCAAAGAATTAACAGTATAACAAAACTTTGGAAGGTTCATTGGAGGGATAAGAGACAGAAACTTCTACAACGAGTAAATGTTATCTGGCCTTTTCTGGCAGAGAATCAAGCTGACCTGGGATCACTCACAGCTTAGTGCACATCTCACTTGGTGTTTTTTTCATTTTATTCATCTCTATTTGAAAGATGAAATTGTAAGACAGTGTAGCACAAGCATCAGGAAACTCATCAACTTAGGTTTAGGGGGGTGGAAATTTTATCTAAGGGTGAGTCTTCAGTTTAGTCTAGTCCTTAATTTTTTTTTATGCTTATAAGAAAATATTTGGATTTATCCACAAAGATCATAATAGGAAGAGTTTGGGGGTTTAAATTCAAAGCTACAATGTTGCTGTTGCAGGTGTGGAGTGAAGAAAATCGAAGATTGGGTCTTAGAATTTTCACATTTAACTTCATCATGGGCAGAAAGTATTACAGTAGATATTATTTGGTGTTTAATAGGACATTGTGTTGCCCAAATATAGAGAGTGCCAGCAAGGTTAATTTATGGTGGATTCATATTAAGTACTATTGTAAATGTTCATTAATATCATTAAAATTACTGAGTAGACATGCAGCAGTTAACAGGAATCTAAAGATTTGAGTGGAGGATAGCCTTTTGATGCTGCAGTTAGCTCCTTTATCATTTTGCTACTCATTTTAGGTTGAATAATATTGGAAAGAATTCTTGTAGTGTGTTTTTACATAGCTATTTGCTATTTTGATCATTGTCTTCTATAGTAGAACTTCCGTAAGTTGAGCACTGTAACAAACTGCTCGACTTATGGAGGTGGTCAGCCTAAGGAAGGAACTTCCAGTGAGTACATGTGGTGCATGTCCAGTCTTTGAGGATTAGTTCAGCTTTAAGGTGTTGGTCAATATAAAGAGATAGAAAGCAGGGCATTGTGGTGGGGGCCTGTAGTCCCAGCTACTTGGGAGGCCGAGGCAAGAGAATTGCTTGCTGTGAGCTATGACACTATGGCACTCTACCAAGGGTGACAAAGTGAGACCCTATCTCCAAAAACAAAAAAAATGGAGAGAGAGGTGGTCAACTCTAGAGGTTTTACTGTCTTTTATAATTTATATCTGTAATGATGGCATACTAAAATGACAAGAAAATTTAGTGCTTTATTAAGCATTTCTGTTAACCTTGGTATGCAGTTGGCAACGAAAGCTTTCTAAATGTGATCTGTGAAGATAAAGAATAAGGGGGAAAACCCAACTTGTATAATGTTCATGATTAAAAATATTTGCTTATAAACCAAAAGCTATTCTTTTAGTATGAGAATGGATAGAAATGATATGTGTTAATGAGTTTCACTGAGTAGTAAAACCATTACTTTTTTTTTTTTTTTTTGAGACAGAGTTTGACTTTGTCACCCTGGGTAGAGTGCCATGGCATCATAGCTCACAGCCACTTCAAACTCCTGGGCTCAAGGGATTCACTTGCCACAGCCTCCCGAGTAGCTGGGACTTAACAGGTGCTTGCTACAACGCCTGGCTATTTCTTGGAGACAAAGTCTTACTCTCTTACTCAGGCTGGTCTTTTTTTTTTTTTTTTTTGAGACAGAGCCTCAAGCTGTCCCCCTGGGTAGAGTGCCGTGGCATTACAGCTCACAGCAACCTCCAACTCCTGGGCTCAAGCGAGTCTCCTGCCTCCGCCTCCCAAGTAGCTGGGACCACAGGCGCCCGCCACAACGCCCGGCTATTTTTTGGTTGCAGCCGTCATTGTTGTTTGGTGGGTCCGGGCTGGGGATTCGAACCCGCCACCTTAGGTGTACGTGGGAGCTATAGGCGCCGAGCCCTCAGGCTGGTCTTGAACTCATGACCTCAAGCAATCCATCTGCCTCAGCCTCCAGAGCATTTACCTTTTTATTGACATAATTTACAAGTAGTAAGACAATTAATAAACTGTTTAGAATCTTAGGAAATAATAACTTACTGTTAATTTGTTGAAAGTATCATAAATATTTATATTCTATCAATAAATGATACAAGCACATAAAATAGGCTTTTCATATCTAAGACCCATCAAATGCTTGGGCAAGATGGCTCAGGCCTGTAATCCTAGCTCTCTGGGAGGCCAAGGCAGGTAGATTGCTTGAGTTTAGAAGTTCAAGGGAGGTGCCTGTGGCTCAAAAGGGTAGGGCGCTGATCCCATATGCCGGAGGTGGTGCGTTCAAACCCAGCCTCAGTCAAAAACGACTAAATAAATAAATAAATAGAAATTCAAGACCAGCCTGAGCAAGAGCGAGACCTCTATCTCTATTAAAAATAGAAAAACTAGCCAGGTATAATGGTCTACACCTAAAGTCCTAGCTTCTTAGAAGGAGACAAGAGGATTGTTCAAGAGTTTAAGGTGTTGAAAGCTGTGATACTGTGGCACTCTACCCAGGGGTACGCAGCAAGACTCTGCATCAGAAAAAAAAAAAAGAAAGAAAGAATAAGAGAGAAAGAAAAAAGCATATCAAATGATTTTTTTTTTTGACACTAAGTTTCACTATGTTGCCTTAGGTAGAGTGCCGTGGCATCACAGCTTACAGCAACCTTAAACTCTTGGGCTTAAGTGATTCTCTTGCTTCAGCCTCCCAGTAGCTGGGACTACAGGCACCCACCACAACACCTAGCTACTTTTATGTTATTGTAGTTGTTATTGTGTTTAGCAGGTCTGTGGCGGGTTCGAACCTACCAGCTGTGGTACATATGACCAGCACCCTAACCACTGACCTCTGGCAAACCCCTCATTTTTTTTTTGGAGACAGAGTCTCACTCTGTTCCATTGGGTAGAGTGCTGTGGTATCAGCATAGCTCACAGTTACTTCAGTCTCTTGGGCTTAAGTGATCCTCCTGCCCCAGCCTTCTGAGTAGCTGGGAGTACAGATGTCTGCTGTAATGCCCAACTAGTTTTTCTATTTTTAGTAGTGGCAGGGGTCTCATTCTTGGGTTGATCTCCAACACCAGAGCTCAACCAGTTTTCCTGCCTGGGCTCAGAGTGCTAGGATTACAGGCATGAGCCACCTCGTCTGGCCAAATGATTTTTTTTTTTTTTTAAATCCTCACAGTTACTGAATAATGCTTTTTAAAGAACTGAGAATTTTATAGTTATAAGCAGAAAGCTGATCTCTAAATGAGAATTTTTGTGAGTGTAGGAAGTCTTTATAACAAATTATAGCTAATTGTGGGTCTGGTTCATACAAAAAGTGAATACAAATTTTTATTTTCTTGGAGAAGATATCTGAAATTTAGAATCTCTTCA